GTCAGCTCAGCTCGCTTCACCTAGAATTGTTTTGCCTGGGTCTGCTGATCAGTAAATGGGCTCCTCCTGGCAGGGGGTGGTGGCTACCTCCCAGAGGATCCTGTGGACTTCAGGGCTGCTCACATTCTTCACCTGGTATCCTTTGCTGTGAATAGTGTAGGAAGTCAACTGCTGGTTTCTAAGCTAATGGCCATTTAAAAAAAATAATAAGGGTTCCTCGGCCAGGAGCAATGGCTCACACCTGGAATCCCAGAACTTTGGTAGGCCAAGGCAGGTGGATCACCTGAGGTCAGGAGTTCAAGATCAGCCTGACCAACATGGCGAAACCCCATCTCTACTAAAAATATAAAAATTAGCCAAGCATGGTGGTATGTGCCTGTAATCCCAGCTACTTGGGAGGCTAAGGCAGGAGAATCGCTTGAACCCAGGAGGCAGAGGTTGCAGTGAGCCTGTATCACACCACTGCACTCTAGCCTGGGTGACAAGAGCGAGACTGTCTCGACAAAATGATAAGATAATTGTTCCTGGACCTTAGATGGTACCCTCTAATGGAAGGAAAAACAAAACAAAACAAAACAAAAACAAAAACAAAAAAAAAAAAACCCTCTAAACAAAGAGCTGTTCTGTACTGAACCTATGAAACTTCTAGATGAGAACAATGGTTCCTCAACTTTAAGGTATCCTCTATTGGAAAAAAAAGAAAAAAAACAAACAAAACAAAACAAAACAAAAAAGCTCTCAAAAATGAGCTGTTCTGGATTGAAACCTATGAAACTTGTAAATGAGAACAGTAAGGACCATAAGCTACAACTCAGTCATCTATGATCACAGTTCCCCAAAACCTTCTGTAGCCCCAACTTGATGTATCTAAGGGGGGCATCTAGACCTATTAGAAAGATTAGTAAAAATGGAAAATTAAAACTCAGAGCTAAGTAAAAAGGTAGATTGGCAGCAGCCTTCTACATTCATGAATTATAGTCTGGGGATATCTTGGTGTTTTCTTTTCTGCACTGTTCAGGTATATGGCAGGCCAAAGGATGTGCAACTTCATAAAGAATTTGTAAAACACCAGGGTTGCCTTTAAAAACCACTCTAAAAGAAACTCAAACTTATGGCGATATGCACAATGGTATCACTCCTTATTCCTGGCCCAAAACACTTCAGGAAACTCACTACGTTTCATCACATGCCACAAGACAGGAATTGAATTGGTCCCTTCAGAGAAACCCCAGGACCAGACAAAATGATGTGCAACAGGGAAGACCTCCATGAGGCTTCCTTACTTCAGCCCAGGGCTGCTAACCCTCCAGGACAGCCTCCTGTGCTACCACCGCCAGTCCCTGGTAGGACTCCTCCATAAACTGAGTCCCTGAACAAACTCAGTAACACCATCCCATGTTTAAAACACTGCAATTCCTCCTTACAATGCTAACATGTTCATAATAATTTACCCCATTCTTCTGGCAGGAGCAAAACTGAAGCAACTTGAAATGCCATCAGCAAAAAATTATTTATTTCCCATTCCTGAGCATCAGAGAAAACAGGGTTTCATTGGCTGGATCTGCGTTCAATAGCTTTCTGGTTTCAATTTAAACTTCAAGTCTCCAAGGAAAAAACTGGCATTCTGGGAGGTCCAGGACCAGCCAAGTTTCAGTGTCTCCACAGGAAGGCAGAAAGGATGCCCCATCCAGCTAGCTATTTCTCATCTTCTATATAATGTTTTGCCTATTATATAGAAGCTTTGGAGCAGAGATTGAAGTACAACTAAAAATAACGACCACATTGAGACAACTCTCCTCTCCTAGAGGTACACTTTTGTGCCAGAGAAGTATGGATTCATCCCCTCACAGAATTCAAAGTTAACAGAAGAAATGCAACAGGAGCCCCAGGGAAAAGTACCTACCTATTTATTTCTTCTTCAGCAAAATCCTGCCTCCTGCCTCTCCCAACTCACCATTTTCAACTAAATCCTCCAACACCACCAAGCACTGTTTCCTATTCCCCCAGCCCTCATTTAGGTCAGGTGATTTGCAAAGTAGTTCACTGGGAGTAAGGCAAGTCCATGACTAGAAGCCCTTGCACCAGGGGGTGTTGGGCTAACTCAAAGATACCTCTAGGTTTCCCTGTGTGATGTCCAGAGCAAGGCCTTCCAGCAGAGCCTTCCTATGTAACATTCTGATGTGAACATACAAAAGATCAAATTACAGCCCTTCACTTGCCTAGCCCTTTCATGAACATATAAGGCAGTTGATATTTTCTCCTAAGCTAGATGTAGCCCCTTTCTTAACCGACACTGCTGCCTCTCAGACATTCCACCTTATGTTCACTGCAAACCATCCCCTCCCCCACCTCCAGTTTGTTTATTCCAGAGATACATCTATTTTCCCAGCTAAGAGAGACAAATCCGTTTCCCTCTTCTGGCTCCCGTTGGCGCATTTGCTCACCACCTCCTTCCCCAGCTCAGCTCAGGTTACTGTAGTGGCTAGCAACTCCCACAGCCCAGGTCTGACACAAACTCAACTTCCCAAGACTAATAGTTTGTTTTTGTTTTGTTTTGTTCCCCTTAATCGGGGAGGAGAGATCGTGTGCCAAGCAACAACACTCTGGGTACCTGGTCTTCATATCTTTTGCAGCTACATTCCCAGCAGCCTGCAAATACTCTGTTTAACCACATTTGATTTCTTTCTTCCTCCTCTTCCGACTTTCTCCAAAACACTGTCTTAACCTTTTCTGGCATCAGGCAATGAAATTAAGCACAGGTGAAAACACAGCACCTTCACCTTCGCTCTGAAACCTGGGAATCCCAGAGCGAAAGAGCTCACGCCTCCCTCGGGGAGTTTAAGGATGGTAGAAGCCCGCAGCAATCAGGAAAAAGGGGGAGTGACCTGGGATTGTAAACTGGCTACATCTTAAAGTACTACAAACTTTCTCCTCCCTCACACGCCCCTGGCCGGTTGGCTCCGCCTTCCCATCCCAACTGGGGTGTGCAAAGGAAACTCTCCCCCCAACGCCCAGGTCTGGTCCAGTGTTGCAGATGTGGCCTGCACTCAACACCACCTTTGCTCTCCAAAAGCCTCTTCTCTACCCCATCCCCTCTTTCCCACAACACACACAGGCTTTGTACAGGAAGATGAGTTTGGATGGGGCACAGGAGATATACCTATTTACTAAAGGAGGGTAAGAGATGGTGTCAAATGGCCAGATAGTTTTGGTGACAGCACAGAAACTTCAAGAAATTAGTTTTTAGTATAAATATACAGAAGAAGAAGAAAAACAGGATAAACAGTGAGGGAATGAAAAGAAAAAGAAGGAAAAAGATGTCAAAGAAAAACAAGTAATGCCAGTATTTCCTTAGAAACCTTGTGGACTCCAACTAAACTTTAAGGTTTGAAAGGTGTGAATATTTGGCAGGAGGTAGGGGGAGTGTAGGGGCTGAAAGGAAAAGGTCTCTGCTGTAGAGGTCCAGAATAAACTGGCCTTTTGGAGGAGAGTTTCTGCAGGGATAGAGAGACACACAAATTGCCCTTTTAGCGTTAGATGTCAACCGTGAGATTATCAGGACAGTTTATTTGAAACGGAAACGAATCGGAAATCCTTCCCACAACAGTTCTTTTAGACAGATATACACCCTGGGAATCCAACACAGACACACGTAAAGAATAAATGCAGCATCGGGGGCAATAAGAACTCCCCTTCCACACTCCCAGTACCTCTAGCCTCATCTCCTATTTCCAATTGTACAACTTTCAATCTCCAATGAAAATATTTCCAGTTGGATCCGATTTCAGACTTGTAGTAAGCGGTCTGGATGGGGGGGGCAGGGGGAATAGGTGCTGTACTGTGCAGGGGAGGGGGGCTGGAAGACAGTATTTCGGCAGTTAACTTATTTTTTTAGAACCAGCATGCTCTACCGATCAGAAATTGCTATTACCCAACAATGCTTCCATCACAAACAGACACTGAAAACAGCATCCCCGTTATCACCATCTTGCTAAAGATCTGCCCGGTCCAGTTTACCTGACTTTGTCCCTGCGGAACTTCTCAGACAGTATTTTGGTCAAAGAGATAATGGTTTGGAAGACAAAAACAATAAATCGATACCGAAGGCTTCCCTTTCCGGAGTGATTTCCCACTGGAAACCACCGAACGGGAAAGCCTGCCGTTCATTCCCAAGCCCACGGCTCCTCTAGAAACGCACACAATGCGTGCTTTCAAAAAGGCATTCGTCTGCTTTTAAGGGAATTCCTATCTTTTCAGAGTCCCAAAACCAGAGAGCATAAGAAAGAGACTCAAATCCATTGATTAAGATTTTTAAGAAAAAGACTAACACACAGCCACAACACAAGCACACACCAACCTTCGCCGGCTGGACCACTTCTTGCCTGTTCTTCTTTCTATTAACGACACGTTAGATTCTGATACATTCCCCCCCAAAAAAATCCAACTAGGTTACAATGTAGCTCTCTAGCTCCACTTAACCTGCAAGTTACAAAGAGAGGAAAAAAAAAAAAAAAAAAAAAAAAAAAATCCTGCCTTCCCACCCCTTTCCTTACCCCCTCCCCCTCCCGAGTCCACTCCACCAACGCCAAACCCGCCAGCCCCGCCAGCCGGCGGCAGGACCGAGGGAGGGTGCAAAAGGCGACGGGGGGAGGGGGGAAGATCAGATTAGGCGAAACTCAATAAGCTCCCAGCCCTCCAGCCCAAAGCTTCCACCATCGCCGCCACCAACGAGCCACTCCAATTGAGCCAGCCTCACCGCCCACCCGCCGGCCCGCCGGAATCGCGCCCATCTCCGGCCACCTCGCCCGGACCGGCATCCCGCCCCCTCGGCCCGGTCTCCCCCTTCCCGCCCCGTGCAAAGTCAAAGACCCAGCAAGGCGACGTGAACTTTTGCATGCAGGGCACACACGTCGCCCCCGGTTCCGGGCGTACGGGGGCCCGCGGCGCGGAGGGAGGCTGGGCGCCTGGGCTCCCGGGCCAAGGTCGCCGCTCGTGCTCACCCATGTCCCGGCGGCTCCGGCTCCGCTGGCCCCGGCGCTCGCTCAGATCCCGGCTCCCGTCGCTCGCCCGAGCCCCCAAAGGTGCTGCTGCGGCAACTCCATGGCGATGAGCATCTGTCAAACGGCGAGCCGCGGGTTGGCCGCCCTAGCTCGAGGGGCGCCGGGGCCCCCGGGCGCGCGGAGGCGGCGGCGAGCGGCGGGCGCCCCGGCCGGCCCCGCGCTTCCCGCCCGACTCGGCCGCCTCCGCCGCGCCACCGATTTATGGAGAGAGATATCAAGGGGGAAAATGGCGTCTCCGGAGCCCGAGGAGTCCTGGAGTAATCACATTCACACACACACGCCCGCACGCACACACACTCGCACACACTCGCACACAGGCGCGCGGCGAGCCCTGCTAATTTTAGCAGGAGCCAAAAAAAAATTATATATATAAATATATATATATATCTCCCCGTCTCTCCGATCAATGCTTTTTTTTTTTTTTTTTTTTTTTTGGCTTTTTTCTTTTTTTTTTTTTTTTTTGGCTTTTTTTTTTTTTTTCCTTTTCTTCAAAGGATGGATTGGAGCGTTAAAAATGTTGCAGGGTTTGGGCTCGCAGGAGGCGGCGCGCGGAGGGCTAGGGCGCTTTTGCTGAGCTGTGCAGTTCGGTCCGCGGCGCCCGGCGGCCCTGCCCGCCCGCTCGTCCGCCCGCGGTCGCTAGTGTTGCCGCCGCCGCCGCCGCTCCATGGCCGCGCCCGCCCCGCGCCCCCGCCGCGTCCCGTCGCCGCCCTCCCGCGTCCCCGGCGAGCGCTGGAGTGGGGTCGGGCCCGTGTGCCTGCCTCCCGCGCCCGCTCCGAGTCCCGGACTCCTAGTGAAAGGAAGGGGGAGGGCGCGGGCGCGGGAGGGGGGAGGATCGGAGCGGCAGCGCGGCCCAGCCGAGCGGGGACCGCCACCCCGCGCTCTTCCTCGCAGGGGGCGCCGGTGCCCACGCCGCTCGCTCCGAGGGCCCGGGGCCGCTTCCCAGACCCGAGCCGGGGAAGGCGCAGCCAGTAGCCAGCCGCGAGCGACCTCTCTCCCCAACGGCACCCCTGCCCCGGTGAATTTCTGTCAATTGAAGGGAGCTGGGCTCTTCCCTGGGGAAAAGGAGAACAGTTCGTGGACGGCGATCCGGGACCCCTCGCCGCCCCCACCCCGCGCCCCTCCCGCTCCCCGGAGCCCTCGCGGCCCAGTGGCTCCTGCGCGCCGGAGTCCGCCGCGAAGACTGAGCGGCAGCGGGGAGCGCGGCGGGCTCGGCGCGGGTTCCTGGGCTCAACACTGCCACTGTCTGACACAACAGGGGCAGTGTCGGGGGGACGGCGCCCGGGCCTGAGCTGTGATAGGCTCTCGAAACTGGGCGCATTTTTTTTTTAACCTGGTAATTACATTTCACTTTCAGGGGTTTATTTTTTTATTTTATTTTATATTTCTATTATTAAGCGACTTGTATGCATTCATATCTCATGTACGTTTTCTGGTTATTCACGAGAATTGGACACTTGAAGGGAAGGGCACTGAGACGTGACAAACGCACAGTGGCAGGCAGTTGTCTTCACGGTGATGGGAATGAAAAAAGTGGAATATCTTCAGTTCTTACACAATATGGTGGCATTTTAAATCTCTGAGTGTTTGTGTTTGGCCTACAAAGGGGGTCTTTCCCGGGAAACTGCGGAATGGAACCCTTCAGATACATGTCTATGTTATAAAACAATATAGGTTAGATACAGATTCGGGAAGGTCTGCAAATAGTTCCGCTTAAAGATCTTGGGGTAAAGTTGACTCAGAACTGGGATTCTGAGAGGACTCCCATCATATTCTTCATGAGAGCGTGGGCTCTTTGGACTGAGGAATGATTTGGAGGTGAGTCGGGGGCATTCCCTCACCGACACCATCGGTGACTGCCTCCCTGCCACTGGCTGCTGGTTTGAGTTCCTTCACAGAACTTCGTCAAGCTTTTCACAGGAACACTGCGGTGAAGTAGAGTGAAAGGAACCGGGAGACTGGCGTGCACCCCTTCCCGCGTCAATCCCATTCCGATTCGTATCTGGATGGAGGTTCAGTCTGACTCAGAACGGATAGTCCAGCCTTTTACTGATCCAAGTACTCTGTCCTCTGTTTTTCAGAGGAATGTTCTGACTGGCCACAAACTTTTCGTCTGTCACTGCAAGACTTCCCATGGAGCCATGTTTCAATAGGTCTTCTACTGTGCTTTATTACTGCGTCATTGTTATTGCTGAAAAAAATCATTCTTATTGCTGAAAGTTAGGAAAAAATAGCAGGGCCTGTGAGCTGATGACAGAAGTAGACTGCAAAGCACAGACTGCAATGTCAAAACAACTCTTCCTGTAATCAAATCACCTTTCCCATTTGCTTGTACAGCCAGATTTCTGAAATCCTACACCAAAGTCCACAGAGAACTAAGATAGCATGTGGCCTATTCCCCACCTTTTTCCAATGGAGAAAGTAGCCCCAGAAATCAGAAAGGTTTTTCCACAAGCAAATGGCTATCTGATGTCATCCAAACCACAACTAAAGCTAATTGCCCCAGTCCTTTCCTTTCTGTAAGGGATATAGGCATATTTACAGGGTCTTCTTTCTGTGGTGTTGTGTGGCTTAGAGGAGTAGCTAAGCACCTTATTAAAATTCACTACAATAGATGTTAAGTCTGTAGAATTATAGTGCAGTAGAAGTTTACCTATGAGATAATCTATTAGAATCCCATCTTTTTAAAACTGAGGAAATAATGGACTACCCCAAGCCACTAAGTTAATTCAAAGCCAGGAATAGATGCCATGTTCCTTGACTTCTTCTCCAGTGTTCCTTCCTTATATGTAGCCCATCTTTGAACCATGAAAGGTGAGAGGAGAGAAAGGAAAGTAGGAATATTCTCACTCTTTTACATATATATGAAAAATATATGTTTGTGTGTGCGTATATATATATACAGTCACATACCCATAATAATGTTTCAGTGAACAACAGACCACATACACAACTGTGGTCCCATAGAATATAATACTGTATTTTTGCTGTACCTTTTCTATGTTTAGATACACAAATACTTACCATTGTATTACATTTGCCCACAGTATTCAGTACAGTAATATTCTGTACAGGTTTGTAGCCTAGAAGCAATAGGCTACACCATATACAGCCTGGGTTTGCTGTATCCTGTATCATCTAGATTTGTGTAAGTGCCCTCCATGATGTTTGCAAAAAGTCACCTACCGATGTATTTCACTGAACACATTCTCCTTGGCTAATTGAAGCATGATTGGCTATGTGTATACATATATATACACACACACACATATAAATATACATACATATAAATACATATACATATGTAAAATAGATACAATAAATATTTTATACATATTAATATTTTTAGTATATAACTACATAATATATTACAAATATGACAATTTTAATATATAATTTAAATTTTCATTAAAATTATTTAATTTCATTCAAATTATTTAATAAATTTACTTTCAATGTTAATATATAATAATAAAGGATTTCTAAGAACTAAAACCCCATCAAATGAACTATACATCTGTATATAGAATGGGACCTATATTCAAATCCTAGGGGAACATCACAGGAATTCTTCCCATCTTCTTTCATAATTAGACCACTTTGTGATCATCTGAGAAACAAACCTTGACACACAGAAAGTCTGAACTTGGTGAAAATCTAACCTGAAAACAGAGTCAAGCAATTTTAAAATACCTATTTACGGGGCCCAGGAACCCTTGAAAAAATCAAAAGGCCATCTGAGCACTTAATGAGAATGCACAGGACACACATCTCTTAGCCCTATGCAATCTCCAGTGTCACAACCATGCCGGCACTCAGCAAATAATTATGGAGCTTGGTGATGGGCCAGATACTTTGGTAGCAACTAGAGATATAAATGTGACCAAGACATAGTCCCCATCCTCACAGAATTCATGACCTAGAGGGAAAGACTGGCATGGCATGCAAACTTCTAACTACAACTAATGCACGGAAATAGCAGAAAGGAGATGCTTATGAGGTGCATGGAGTACAGATGCTGAACTGGTGGGAGGAGAGTCGGGTCTGAAATCACGTCTTCTTAAAAATTGCTGCACGTTTATTTTCTATGTGTATTTAACGTACACATTTCATTTTCCCCTTTGCACACACAAATATTTTTTGCTATTACCTGTTTTCCAACCAAATATAAAACTTATGAGGTCTAGGCTGTGCCTCGCATGGACAATGACAACAAATATAGTTGAGAGTAATTGTTCCCCTGATAACACCAAATATCTGAATTGTTGCCAACTGGGCTATTGTTCACTGCTCTGGGCATCCATGTGCCTAACCTGTAAAATGACCATAATGATAACTCCTTCTTGTGCAAGGCCCTATGCCACATGTATTCCAAGGATCTGCAGGATGGTCATATGTAGCAGGATTTGAGGACTGGAGGGATATATACAACTCAAGGTTTGCCTCAAAGTGCAAGAGCAGGACATGTCATTTTCATATCTGTGAAGCTAAAAGTAAAAAGAAATGAGACTAACCCATCCTTTTTTCCTTTATAAGAAGTTGAGATCAAGTAGTGTAATCAAATGCTCAGAGCCAGTCACCTTCTACAGTGTTGATTCTCACCTTTCTGGGAAATGGGTTAGTAATATCTAATGTAGTGGTTCTCAATACTGATTATGAATCAAAATTACTTGGAGGAATTACTGATGCTTGGGATTCATCTTTATTTAACTGGTCCTGCATAGACCCAGCATTAGTAGTTATAATAAAACCCTAGGTGTTTCTGATATGTAATCAGCATTGAGAATCACTGATCCAATTGAAAGCACATGCTCCCACAATGTGATAGGGATACTTACAAAGCTCCTACCCTCTCAGCTAACACAGTATTCATAGGTGTTGCTAACACAAGAAAGTGATAGCCTGAAGGAACTACACAGTGAGTAAGTAACATCTGGAGTTTAGGGGCCATTCTGGAAATGTGGAAATTCAGAGTGTGTTCTATGCTGCAGTAAAAAAGACCACAGATCAGATCATAAAGGAGGGTTCATTATAAACTTTTTTGACAGGTACCTTCATCTCTCTGTCTCTCCGATTCCACTTCTGAAAAAAAAAAAAAAAAGAGTAGTATTTGAAAGTCTCTAAGGACCAAAATTCTCTCCATTTTGATTCTAGGTCACAAGAGAGTCCAGAAGAACAGTGGGAGCGTATTGGGAACAGTCATATTGGGATATGAAAGTTTTTCTGAAATGTAAGAAAAGCATCAGGGAAAATACGAAAGAGATTGCTTGACTCTACTGGAGGGTGGAGTGGGTGGATGATAACAAGCCCTGGTCAGCTGAGGTTATGAGGAGGCAGACCTCAGCTCAACATAATGAAAAACACTGTTATTAAACCTGCACCGAGAACAAAGCATT